TGTGTGTGTGTGTGTGTGTGTGTGTGTGTGGCCAGCTCAGCCCACCAGGGGGCGGGGCTGGCTGGCATGTGGTGCTGGGGGATTGAACCGCGGTCCCTGCGCTTTGCTAAGCTTGTTCTAAGTAGGTGCTTTAGACCACTGAGCCATCTCACCAGCCCTTTTTTATTTTTTTTTATAAAATTCTTTCATAAGGCTTATAATGAAACCCTAAAATTAAGTTACAAATTGAAAATAAACCAAGCTTCTGAACTATTACACTTCAAACTACCAATATGGCTGTGACCGGTGTGCTGATTTGGCTAAAGCAGGTCGAGGCTCGCCCGTGCGTGGAGCCACCTGGCAGGGCAGCTCTCCCTTGCTCAGTGCCTGTTGGCGGCTTTTCCCTCCCACCTCAGGCCAGCCCTTCGTTTCCAAATGGCTGAACGCAGTCCTTCTTGGGAATCCTGCAGTGGCTGTGCTGCCAGTTCCTCCACGGAGCTGTCCTGGATCAACTTAGGGTGCTGGACAGGACCCTGAAAAATATGAGTCCAAGAGGAGGATGAAGTAGCGGCCCAAGCAGGCCCAGGGGTGGATCTGTGACTTTCCGGCAACAAAAGAGCGTGCCGTGGTACCTGGTGCTGCTGCGCCAAGCACCGTTGCATGTGTCCTCGCTGCGCCCGGCAGGCCCTGCAGGCCTCAGGCAAGGTAGCGAGCAACCCTGCAGAGGTCCCACGGTAGAGAGATGCGCCGACGGAGCTGTGACTGCCACAGGCCTCCTGTGGGGCTGATGCCCCCGGACCTCACAGCTTCTCAGAGGGCTCTGGCTCAGAGCCGTCACCTGTGGTTGGTGCGGGGAGCAGAGCCTCAGCAGTGCCAGCCGAGCGGCGGGGAGCCCCACGCTCCACGCACAGCCAGGCCCACCCTCCATCCCCAGAACACTTCTGTTTCCTCTTCCAGGCTCAGCACTAACACCTCACTCCCCTCCCCCACCCTGCCACTTTCTGTTCCCAGAGCCGTAAGCATCACCCCAACTGTCAAATACCTCTCCGCAGCAGGCCTCTGCCATCCATCTGTGTCTCACTGTTCCAATTATATTGGGTAAGTAAGTTTGTGATTATAGTTTTCTGGAGAAAATGTGATTACTCTGAACTATTTTATGCATTTTTGAGGTACAAAGAAGGATACACTGATATTAACGAGATCAGTGTTTAGTAGAACAAAGATTGATGGGCATGGACCTTGTCCAACCCCTCATTTCACAGATTGGAACATCTGAGCTCAGAGAAGCAAAGAAAATCACCCAAGTGGATGCAATTCCCAACCGTCCTCTGTTACGTTAATAGTACGGTGCCCGTTTATGATCCTGAAGTCATCGCCAGCATATTTCAGAGGCTTTCCCCCAACTTTCTGGGTCAGGGCTGCTTAGCTCAGCACCTCAGCCTTGGCCCCAAAGCGGTCTCTCTGTGCTTGCAGTGCTCTGGCTCTGTGCTGCCGCGGTCCCTGTCCTCCCATGAAGCACACCTGCTGCCACCAGGGCTCAGAGTCGGTCCAGCCCACCCTGGCTAGTGTGTCTCCTGGGGATGCCACGCAGTTCTCTGTCCCCAGCCCCAGCCTCTGGTCGGAATGAGTGGCGGCAGGTCACTGAACTTCAGAGGTTTCTCACTGAGACATACCTGACATATAAGCATTTACAGACTGGTTTAAACAACAACAAAAAAAGATAAAACGTACCTGGCACATCTCCAGAGAAAGAGGCATGCATGGGGCAGGGGGTGGAGCCGGGTGGTACAGCCCCGTGTCCGTCCTAGCTCCGAGGAGCGGAGTGTGCACATGGTGACTCTCAGGGTCCCAGTGAGCTCCGGCCAGCGCCACTAGCTGTTGAGCCCATTTCTCGGACGTGCACACCTTTCCCACCCTACTAACCCCAAACATTGGCTCATCGCAGGATGGATTGCCGAAAGATAAATAAACACTGTACTTCTCGACCATCGATGGCAAACCTTCTAGGTACAAGAACCTGAAATGCAACCCAAAACCCACGTGTCAAGGTGCAGGAGATGGCTCAGTGGAATAAGCGCTTCCCTGTCAAGCGCAAGGGCCTGAGTTCAATCCCTGCTTCTGCAAAAAACAAACAAACCAAAAAACACTTATCTAAAAGTGCTAGCACTATAATTCAACCTGAATATGGAGGCTTTTAGGTTAGAAAAAATAACTCACATGTTACCATCTTTTGTCTTAAAAGGAAAACACACAAGTACCACCGATTTGCCACCACTGCTCTAGACCACGACAAGTTCCCTTATCACAGGGAAAGAAGTTAAGGATACTTAATTCATCAAATATCCAGTAAGTATTTGAATTCCCTGATTGTCTAAAAGCGTTTTACTGTTTGAATCAAGGTTCAAATTATGTGTATAACTTTCAATTTGTTGATGTCTTAAAGTTCATTTTAATCTGTAGATTTCCCTCTGTTTTGTTCAGCTAATTTTCACCTGTTTTAAAATTATTTAATGATGATAAAATTGTATTTATTGTGTAAAACATAGTGTTTTGAAGTATATGTGTAGGTATGATCAAAAAATACTAGGAATGTTCAAAGTTTTAAAAAATGTATTGCAGTAAAAAATACACTGCTGGATACAGTGTGCACACCTGTAGTCCCAGCACCGGGGAGGCTGAGGCAGGAGGATTGTTGCAAGTTCTAGACCAGCCTGGGCTACAGTGAGCCCAGTCTGAGCTGCATAGTGAGATCCTATCTCAAAAAGCCCAAAAAAAGGGCCAGAGAGATAGCTTAATGGACTAAGCACCTGTTTAGGCAAGTGCAAGGACTGGGGTTTGATTCCCAGCACCGCATGTTGTGCCGGCCCCACCCCTGGGTGCACTAGCCAGCCACCAAGACCGGGCGTGGTGGCACACGCCTGTAATCCCAGCACTTGGGAGGTTGTGACAGGAGGAAGGCTCTCTGTGAGTTCGAGACCAAGCCTGGGGGCTATGAAAGTGAGCATAAGGGCCGACCAAATAGCTCAGCGGATTGAAGCACTTGCTTGGGCAGACGCAGCGGCTGGGGTTCCATCCCGCCCTCAGAGCACACTGAGATGGCGATTGAGACTGGCTGCGGTGCTGTGCGCCTGTAATCCCAGAGCTTGGGAGGCTGAAAACAGGGGGATCGCTATGAGTCCAATCTATGCAGTGAGACCCTGTATGCCCGGTACAACCCTTACAAAAAAAAAGTGAGCATAAGCAGCCCAAGCCACACAGGGAGACCCTGTCTCAGAAAGGGGTGGGGGTGGCTGGAGCTGCTGCTCAGGGCCGCAGCATTCCTGATGGGGACCTCAGTCGTGCCCAGAGAAGGGAGAGGGGCGGAGCTGTGCTCTGGGCGCCGTCTTCCTGCTTGAGAAGACGACGCCACGGCAGAAGGTGCAGTGAAATGCCTTTTCTCCACCCTGAAACTTTAAGGGTTTTACATTAAAAACTTCTACACCCCTCTGTCTCTGTCTGCCTGTCTTTGTCTTGTCTTTCTGAGACACGGTCTCACTATCCGGTTTAGGCCGGCCTCAAGCTCACTTTGCAGCCCAGGCTGCCTTGAATTCGTAGTGATCTGCCTCAGTTTCCCAAGTACTGGGACTACAGCTGCACACCACTGTGCCTGGCTCTGCACGCCTGGCTCTCCTCACCTTTCTGGAAAAGCTTTATTTATTTTTCCGTATTAGTACAGGGTCTACAGGGTCTCACTACATAGATCAGACTCCTAGTGAGCCTCCTGTTCTCAGCCTTCCAGTCACTGGGACTGCAGGCGCGCACCACCAAGCCCAGTCTCAATCACTGTCTCAGCATACCCGGGGGCGGGGCCAGCATGGCACACGGGGATCAAACCCCGGTCCCTGCATCTGCCTAAACAGGTACTGTAATCTGCTGAGCTATCTGGCCAGCCCTAAAAATGGTTTATTTAATTAAAAACTTACACAAGCTATCTTACTGTAGTGTTCTTTTGGACTTGTGTTTTTGGAAAGATTTGGGTCTTCTTTTCTTCTTCTTTTTTTTCTTTTTGGCGGAACCGGGGATTGAACTCAGGCCTTTGTGCTTGCCAGGGAAGCGCTTATTCCACTAAGCCATCTCCTTGGCTCTTCTTCTTCTTCTTCTTCTTCTTCTTCT